CATTCTTCCTAAAAGACTAGTGTCTGATACAACTAATCATGGTACTTTCTCACTCAGAATCCTTTGATGGCTCTCCACTGTCTTTTGAATAAAATTTAAACTCCTTGGTGTGGCACATAAGGTCCCAGATTTTGTCTCCCTAACAGGACCTTCCACCTTCATTTCTAACAGTTACATCAGCCACCCCCAACCTTCCCCCAAACACACATACTCTTGGGGTACAAGGGGTTATCCACAATTTCCCAAACACACCCCGAAGTTTTCTGTATCATCTCTCAAATTATCCTGGCTTTTATAGAATTAAAATGCTCCCTTGAGGTTGAAAAAATCATAATCTAAAGCCCTTGGCAAAAATTACCTAGAGCAGCATCTCACACATAGTAGGACTGAAGACAAATCTTTGAGTGAGTGGGTGACTGAATAAAAAATATTGTGCATATAAGAAGCAGAGCTTCAGGTTCATAACTGTCAGCATGCTGAAGGCTGAGATGGTAACTATTTGCATTTTTATGGATTTGCATTGTGTTGGGCATATCTTAGGCACTCAGTAAATGCTGGCTGAATGTTGAATAAGTTCCAGCGAGGTTTGTTTCCTCCCACCCCTTCCCCTGGTGCTAAGTATTTGCTGCCCTGGAGAAAATATTTATGCCAAGCTGACAGTGGTTTTAAAGGGAAGAAAGCAAGAAAAAAAGGCAAGGTGATAGAAGATAAGACAAAAACAAGGTCAAAATATATTCAGAATAACTTGTTCTGTAGACCTTGCGGTGGAAGGTATTTATAGCAGTCGCTGTGGAATAGTGGAAAGGGCTAGGATGGAGCCAAACTGCTTCAGATTGAAGTGCGAGGCCTTCTTTGGCTGGGGGGTGTTGAATAAATGGATCGGCTCCTTCCTTTGTCATCATTCTTGCCTGTAAAATGAGTGTAACCTTGGCTTTATTTTTGTTGTGAGACGTTATGGGCTGAATTACACCCCCTCAAAATTCATATGTTGAGGTTCTAGCCCCTGGTCCAGAATGATACTGCTTTAGAAATAGGATCTTTAAAGAGGCAATGCAGTTTAAAGGGGGTTGTTAGAGTGGTCCCTAACATGACTGGTGTCCTTAAAGAGGAAGAGATTAGAACACAGAGAGACACCTGACACGTGCACACGTAGCAGGGCGACCATGTGAAGACACAGCAAGAAGGCGGCCACCTGCAAGCCAGGGAGAGAGGCCCCAGTGGAAACCAAACCTGATAACACCTTGATCTTGAACTTCCAGCCTCCAGAACTGTGGGAAAAGAAATCTCCGTTGTTTGTGGCATGTTGTTGCGGCAGTCCTAGCCAACTAATACACGAGGCAACGCACAAAACTAACAACATGGCACTCTGTGGCTGCCCTCCAAATGTTAGTCTTCTTAAGTTGCATTAACAGAAGGAAAGTATTTAAAATAACGCATCAGTCCTGTTATGTGTTGGTCAGAACCTTTAGTGTGAAAATAGTCCTTTTCTAGAAACAAACTTGACTGTTGGGGATGGGTGGCCACTGAGAACCTGGGTCACATCCAGAGAAGGCTGTAAGGCTGGTTAGGACTCTAGGAATTTCCACACTGAAGGAAGCAGCTAAGTTTAACCCAGAGAAGGGAAGACTCGAGGGGACACAAAGCCATCTGCAAAATGAAGTGCTGTCTTAAGAATGAAGACTTTGATTTGGCTTGTGTGGGCCCAGGGGGAAGGGCCAGAGTCCGTGGGTAAAAGTTTCAGGGAGTGGATCTCAGATCAATATAAGCAAGGGTTTTCTAAGAGAGCGGTGGGCAAATATAACAGGCTTCCTCAAGAAGTATTCAATGGGGCTGGATGACCGATTCTTTGAAATGTCACCGAGGGGACACAAGCATAGATCAGTGTTCAGACCAGACAAACTTGATGTTCGCTTGAATCCTGACACTCTGATATACAAATGCATTGTGCTCCAGCTGATGAATAGGTTTTGAGAGGACGTAGGTGTATCTCTTATGAACTGAAAACCACGTGCATGATCGAGCTTTGTTGATTTGGTGGCTATCAGAAGAGCTTTAGAAAATTTACTGAGAAAAAAAACGAATGAAATAAATGTTCAAACTGTAGAGGTCAGCCATGGCACCTTGGAAATGCGAAAGGGTGACCAACTGAGAGCCGGGAGCCCCAAAGTACAGGCGTTAAGCAGGGACGAACTTGTGCCAGTCAAATTCTTAAACCGATTCTGTGCAAAACTGCCACCTCGAATTTTACAAAGCAAAAATAAATATATAAATTAAAAGGCTGAGTTTCGCTTAGCTACTAAAAGTTAATCTATCCTGAAAGAATTTGTTAAAATTAATCCCAGCAAGAGTTGACCCAGTGAAAGCTGGAATTTCCGCAGTATGTGAGATTTGGGGAAAGCCCACTGGAGCAAGGGATTCGGTGGGTGGTGTGGAAAATATAGTGTTCGTAGCCCTAAACTGCGGCAGACTAATGGGGTGCCCTTAACTCCTGTGGCAGGAATTTGGGGCCGCGGAGCCAGGCTGGCTGAGAAAGGCCAGTTTTGGGGAGGGACAGTGGGTGGCCAGAGCTGGCGGGGATGGAGGGTCGAAGCGCTGTGGGGCGAGCACGGGCACCAGACACGGCGCGGAGACAGCACCGACGGGGCGAACTCGCTCCACGGGGGGCTGGGAGAGCAAGCACCCTAGGATCCCCTTGGGTTCTGACCCACGGCCCCCCGAGAGGCCCAGTCCTGGCCCCCCAACTTCCCGCAGCGGCACTGATCACTCTTCCCCCGAGCCCCCGACGGCGCCCCCGAGCGGAGGTCCGGCGGGACCAGTGCATCCCCAAGACAGGCGGAAAGCGTCCTCGCGCAGGGCGCCTGGGGTGGGCCAAAAGGTCAAATAGCCAGGGAGCTGGGGAGGGGGACAAGCGTCCTTCAGGGTCCAAGGGGGCACGCAGAGCCTTGGCCCTGGGGGGGG